GGGGGTGGGGGCAGGGCTCTATCCCTCTGGGTGCACTCAGGCCCACTCAGAGCTTTGCTTGCTGTCCATTGGGGGTCTGGCCAGCTGCCCTCTCTGCTCATGTCAGGCCCCGGAGTTTGAAGATCTGGGTTTGTTGAGTTTTGTCCTGTAGCACCTGTGTAACCTGGGACTGGCTCCACCCTCCCTGGGCCCCAGGTCCTCTGCTGCAAGTGGAATGATGGCTGCTTGGCTCTGTCTCAAGTTGGCTCTCTCCCACAGTCTCTGGACGCCCAGCCCGAGCAGCTGGCCCTAAGGCCCAAGGAGTTCTTCCGAGCCTATGGCATTGAGGTGCTCACAGAGGCCCAGGTAAGGGACAAAGCTGGGCAGCCATGAAGGCTGTGAGGTCCTGTAGGCTCCTGAAGATGTGAGTGTGCTCTTTCCTCCTGGCCTTGCTGCCCAGGCACTCAGGGGTGCTTCTGGCCTGGGAGGCTGCACTGGACCTTCTTCTCGGTAGGGTCATGGGCACATGCATAGCCCCAGTGTGGGGACATGGATGATTTGCTCAGGGCTGAGATGGAAGAACCTGGTGGGACTTGGAAATATAAGGAGGGCTTTGAGGGAAAGGTGATGTTTGAGGCTTAAAGAAAGGAGGGCCCTGGCTGGTTTTGCTCAGTGGTTAGAGCGTTGGCCCTTGGACTGGAGGGTCCCAGGTTCGATTCCGGCCAAGGGCATGTACCTCGGTTGCAGGCTCCAGCCCCCAGGCTGCATGCAGGAGGTAGCCAATTGATGTGTCTTTATCACATCACATTGATGTTTCTCTCTCTCCCTCTCTCCCCCTCTCTCTCTCCTGAAAAGCAATGGGGAAAAAAATCCTCAAGTGAGGATAAAAAAATAAAAAAAGAGTGAAGAGGAATTGCCAGGTGAGGGAGGAAAGACAACCCAGGTGGCCAGAAAAGCCCCCATGGAGCTGCTTAGAGGGTCTAGCTAGGCTCTGGGCATACTGCAGGACCCAGGAGTGGGTGGCCAGGCCCAGGTCCATGCTCTGCCTGGCGCGGATTGCAGGTGGTCACAGTGGACGTGAGAAACAAGAAGGTCGTGTTCAAGGATGGCTTCAAGCTGGAGTACAGCAAGCTTCTGCTGGCACCTGGGAGCAGGTGAGACAGTGTCTCCCCTGCTGGCCCTGTTGGACACCAGGCAGGGTACTCGCCAGGATGGGAAGGTGCAGGGTGCCAGGAGCCCCTCACTGACACTGGCTATTTCTCAGCCCTAAGACCCTGAATTGCAAAGGCAAAGACGTGGAGAACGTGTTCACCATCCGGACACCTGAAGATGCCAATCGCGTGGTGAGGCTGGCTCGGGGCCGCAACACAGTGGTCGTGGGGGCCGGCTTCCTAGGTGAGCAGCTGTGGATGGCGGGGTGGAGGTGGCCAGTCCCAAGGCAGTGCTGGCTCTGGAAGGTGCAGGGTGCCAGCCCGCTGCCTACAACCCCGGCCCAGGGATGGAGGTGGCTGCCTATCTGACTGAGAAGGCCCACTCAGTGTCCGTGGTAGAGCTGGAGGAGACACCCTTCAGGAGGTTCCTGGGGGAGCGTGTGGGTCGTGCCCTCATGAAGGTGAGCCCACCCTGGTCCCCAGCCTCTCAGAACCCTGGGTGCCCAGCCCAGTCCTGGCCGGGCTCTTACCTACTGCCCATTGTCCACCTGCCCTGACAGATGTTTGAGAACAACCGGGTCAAGTTCTACATGCAGACAGAGGTGTCGGAGCTGCGGGCCCAGGAGGGAAAGGTGGGGGCCCTTCTCCCCCTCCCCTGCCGCTCTCTGTCTCCTCTCCCCTGTGCCCAGGAGCTGGGCCCACCTGCTCACCTGTCTGCTCCCCACAGCTGAAGGAGGTCGTGCTGAAGAGCAGCAAGGTGGTGCGGGCTGACGTCTGTGTGGTGGGCATTGGTGAGTGCGTGGGCAGGTGGGTGTGAATGAGCAGATCTTTTGGCCAGTCCCTTCCCCTCCCTGAGCCACAGTTTTCACATCTATAAAATGGGGACCATAACTGTACCCACTTCAAGGAGCTGTTGGGGAATGGGCATACTGGGCTTGGCCCAGGCCTGGCATGGAGGATGCCCCCAGTGACCACTGCCCACTCATACTTGACTCCATGGCCTGCTTTGTGAGGGCTGCAGGACACAAACATGCCTCTAACTGGTTCCTGATGCAATTGAGATGCCGGTTTGAGGAGGAACAAAGCTGGGGGTGGCAACACGGGCTGGGGTGGGGTGGCATGCCCACCCCTATCAGAGGACTTCCTGGACCGCTTCTCAGAGGAGGCGATACCTGAGGCCTAATGGGAGGCACAGGGATCTTTGGGCCCAGGCAGAAGGGACAGGACACACAGAGGCTGCGGGGTATGCTGGCCATTGGATGATCAGTCTGGGGCTGGGTTGTGGCAAGTGAAGGGTGTGGGTCATGCAGAGCAATGAGGTGAGAGAAGTGGACAGTGGCCCCATCCCGTCAGGCGCGGTGCCCTCCACGGGTTTCCTGAGGCAAAGCGGCATCGGCCTGGATTCCCGAGGCTTCATCCCTGTCAACAAGGTGGGCCTGGGTAGGGTGGGAAGGGTGCCGGGCTGGGGACAGGGGGAGGTCCAGGTCAGGGCCCCCTTCCCACCCACAGAGTCCTGTGCCCTCTCCCCACAGATGATGCAGACCAACATCCCAGGCGTGTTTGCAGCTGGTGACGCTGTCACCTTTCCCCTGGCCTGGAGGAACAATCGGAAAGTGAACATCCCACACTGGCAGATGGCTCATGTCCAGGGTATGACCAATCCCACAGCAGAATAAGGGATGGGAGACTGTCCCAGGGTCTCAGCCTTCCCCGGGCCCCTCTCTCAGTTTCTGGGTCCTGGTTGCTGGTTGCAGAGCTATTCAAAACTCTGTGGTGGTCTGTCTGGGCCAGCCTCATCCAGGTGATCAAGCCAGCTCACAGAGCAAGCCCTGTGTGTGGCTCATCTCCAGAAACTCCCTCCTTTGCCCTCTGGACACCCCATTCAGCCAGCCACAGCGCCCCACCTCACTTGTCCTTCCTACAGCCTCTCCTTTTCTTTTGTACTCAAAGACACATGTTCATCAGGCAGAGAGAGAGGGATTTAGTCAGACATGGGCCAGCTCCCCACTCAGTGCCTTTGTCTCCCTTGGGCCACTAGACTGACTCTGGGAACCCAGTTGCCTCATGCAGGCCCCTGGGAGGTGGCCATCTGGGCCTGGAAACTGGGGACTCAGTGGAGAACTGTTGTGCTCTCTGAGGAATAGATTTCCCCCCTCACCAAGCCTCTGAAGATGTGTTCACTGTGCACACCTGGTCTAGGCCCCTAAGCTGCAGGTGCCAGCAAGTTAGCTGCCTTACAGGGAGGACCCCAGGCTCCCTGCCCCCACCTCCTCTCCCCTCTGCCTTCACGTTATCTGAACCACTGCTGCCTGAAACTCCACTCCTGGTACCAATTTCTCTTCAGATCCAAGGTCTGAAGTTGGTGCTATTTTTTAAGGAGCCAAAGGCTACTCATCAGTGTAATAAAAGTTTAATTGGGAGGATCCAGGGGACTCACAGACATCCAACCACAGGGTTCTAGTGGGGCTTAATGAACTGGGTAGCCACCCACGCTATTCTGGCTGGGGCCCTGGGGTGTGGCTGTCGTCTCTACTTCCTGGTTACTTGTGCCTGGTCTCCTGCCTCCGTCTTCAGACCTGATATATCTGATTAGTTGTCTGTGTGCGCACCTGAGATGGCCAGGCAGCTCCACCTCCCCAGGAAGACCACCTTCCAGACCCAGGGCACTTCACTTAAATTCTCCAGAGAAGCCATCTAAGTGGCCAGCTTTGAGCTAGGTGTTTGCCTCCGTACCAACCAGCTGCAACCAAGCTCGGGCAGTGGGCTGCACAATGATGACCCCTGGGGAGGCAAGGAGCAGCCCCACATGTGAGGGGTCCCCAGAGAGCTGGGACAAGCAGTGTAGGGGTGGTGGGGGCTAGTGTCAGGGCTTTCACTATTGTGGGCCCCGCAGGGCGTGTGGCGGCCCAGAACATGCTGGCACAGGAGGCGGAGATCAGCACCGTGCCCTACCTGTGGACCTCCATGTTCGGCAAAAGCCTGCGCTACGCAGGTAACAGAAACCTCTGGACGGGGCGGGGCCAGGAGAGTTTGGGGGCGGGGCTAATGCGGAGGCGTGGTTATGAGCATCCTGGGGGCGGGGCCACGACAGCTAGAAAGCTGTAAAGCCCTTACTGGGGGCGGAGCCTGGGCTACCTAAAAGGACAGGGAGCTAGGCCTGGAGGTGGGTACAGGGGGGCAGTTAAGAGGGCACAGGACCCTGGCCCGGTGGAGTCCCATCCCTTCGGCTGAGCTTACGTGGGTGCCACCCGCTTGCCCGGCCCACAGGGTACGGAGAAGGCTTCGACGATGTCATCATCCAGGGGGATCTGGAGGAGCTGAAATTCGTGGCTTTTTACACCAAGTGAGAAGGACCGGGTGGAGCAGGGGCACGAAGCAGCAGGAACTCGGTCGGTAGGGAAAACTCATCCCAGAGAAGCCTTGCTCCGGAGGAAGGGGGCTTACCCGAAAAGTGGATGGAGTGGCAAAGGGAGGAGCTAGGCAGGAGATGCTGCTGAGGAGAGGTGAGGAGGCAGGGCAGTAATGACTCCAGTTGCCACGCATTGACAGGACATTTTATTTTTAGCACAGCTCTTTGAGGTGGGTGTTGATACCCTGCTTTTACACTGAGGAGAGTCACACGGGTAGAGAGTGGTCATCCTAGGACAGGAGTCCAGCCCTGAACCCCACTGAGGAGTATGGCTGGAACCGCCATAAGAATCCCACAGCAGCCCAAAGCCCATGTTGTGCTAAAGTGCAAAGCAGGGAGGGTTGGGTGCTCAGGACATTCCTGTTGTCCTGGGTAAGATCTCTTCCTGGGTCCCAGGTGGACAAGGGGTGTGTCAGGGTCTTCAAGAAGAGGGGCCACTGCTGGGCAGTTGTCAGGCTCAGCCACCCTCTCCCTACAGAGGCGACGAGGTGATCGCCGTGGCCAGCATGAACTACGATCCTATTGTGTCCAAGGTGGCTGAGGTGCTGGCCTCAGGTCGTGCCATCCGGAAGCGGGAAGTGGAGTGAGTGTGGGCATTAGAGGCCTGGGGAAGGGGGCAAGTAGTCTACCAAAGGACTGGCTCAACCTTCCTATGGCAGTTAGCTGCCCCACAGTCCTCCAGGGCCAGTCCTCTCACTCTTGGTCCCCATTAGTCTGAGGATCCCAGGGCTATGGGGCCATGGAGGGCATAGGTTGTGATTTGGGAGTGGGCTGGTTATATGTCTTCTTGGAAGACAGAAGGAAAAGGGGCCATGTCCCAGGGCAAGGCCAGTGCTGTGGGGAGGAGTCAAGGCACACTCCTTGGGCAATCACTGAACTTGGGACATCTGACTGGACATGGTTGTGTTGAGCCTGGCAGAAACCAAGTGGGGAAACACAGCCAGTGATTGCCCCTGGGGATGCCTTGAACAGATGTGGGGTGGTTGTTCAGGGTCTGGGAGACACTGGACGCCAGTGTTTACCCTCATCCCAACAGGGTGTCAATTCGAGTCCCACTGTAGGCTCAACTTGCCTACAAAAAGCCTCCAGGGACTCGGGAAAGCCTGGAGGCCATGGGGTGGGGGTAGAACTCAGGCTAGCAACAATGGAGAATCTAGAGGGGACATAAATGACATGCTCTTCCCTGGCCTTCTCTGTCTCTCCCTCTTGCACTCGAAAAGGCTGTTTCTGCTGCACAGCAAGTACGTGTGTCCTGTCCTTCCTGTTGATTATTTTGAGCCTTTCCCACCTCAGCTGAGTCTGCACCTGATGGTCTTTCTCCCTTTGCCCAAGTACACATCCCTGCTGGGCACCAGGGCCTGGCACAGAGCGTGCCCCTGCTGTCCTCAAGGGCCAGCTGCTTATGGTGCTGAGTGGGGAGCTCTCTTCTTCTGCCCTGATTCCTCCTCCCCTCATTCCTGCAGGACCGGCGACATGTCCTGGCTGACAGGGAAAGGATCCTGAGCTTGCATGCAGCAGACTTGGGCAGGCATGCTGGGGCACCAGGGACAGAGGCCAAGCCCTGGGGGCAGGTGCCAACCTCCAATTTCCCAGGATCCCTCAGGGCAGAACCTGAGCCCTTCCAGTGTTTGCCATCAGCTGCCTGGTTCACCTCCAGAGAGGCTGCTGCTGCTTCCAAGAGATGCTCACCACCCAAGACCTCGACTGCCACAGATGGTTGGCAGTGGAGGCTGTACAGGCTCTGCCTCTCCTCCCTCTATTGGGACTGGTCCCCTGTAGGACCCTGCAACATATTAGACATTATATCAAAATTAAACCACACACATTTGCAGATCTGTGTGACTTCCACTGTAATTGGGCAAACACTCATGAGGGAGAAAGTGGATGACAGGGAGACAGGCACAACCACAGAATGTTCAGTGCCACACCAAGGAAGTTTGACCTGTGAGTGCCCAGAGAAGGGAGCAACTGATTCTGCTCCCGGGGGGTTAGGAAGGGCTTCTCCAATCAGAGCCTTGGTTCTGGACTTTGAAGGAAGGGTATTCCTGGTAGAATAGAGTGCAGGTGCAAAGGGCTTGAGACAGGACGTGCTTCTTCACAGCATAGCGGCTGCACGCATTTGGCAGTTTGGGGGCATTTGCCCACTTAGGGCTGCAGGAGCTGGGTCCTGAGACAGACCTCATGCTTCTCAAGGCAGCCGGAGCTTCCCAAATCCACATTTCGCAGATGAAGGAGCTGAGGCTTTGCTGTTAAGTAGAAATGAGAATGCAGAGCCTCTGCGCCACGCTGCCTCTCAGCCAATAAGAAGGTGGAGGGTAGACCGGGGGTGGGGTGTGTGTGTTCGGGCTGGGGTCGCGAGCAGTAAGGGGATAGTTGGGCTGCCTGCGGAGGCTGCTGAGAGCTCGGAACCGTCCACCAGGGATCCTGGGAGCGGCGGACTATCACGGCCGAGCCCCGCGCAGACAAGACATGCCGGGAACTGCGGCCGATCTCTCGGCGGCGTGTGGCAGGGCAGGCGCGGGGAAAGTACAGTCGCCCGCGACGGGGGATCGGGAACCCGCACTCCGCGGGAACTGTTTCCCAGAAGAGGTTGCGCAGTTGCCGCAACCTCGGGTCCTAGGTGCAGCTCCCGCCACCTGGGCCACGACAAGCGCTAGGCTAGTCCGGAAGCGCTGACCGACCTAAGCGCGGCGCTAGCGGAAGTGCCGCGCCGTCGGCCCAGTGCTCGCCGGGAAATGTAGTCCCTCGGGGCGGCCCAGGGCGGTGGCCGCAGGGCCCGAGGACCCGGTGACTGATCCGGCGTGGATCCGGGATGGCTGGGACGGGCGGCTCGGGGGGCCCGATCGGGGCCGGGGCCCTGGCCGGCAGCGCGCGGTCCAAGGTAGCCCCGAGCGTGGACTTTGACCACAGCTGCTCGGACAGTGTCGAGTACCTGACGCTCAACTTCGGGCCCTTTGAGACAGTGCATCGCTGGCGGCGGCTCCCGCCCTGCGACGAGTTCGTGGGGGCCCGGTACGGCGTGGTTCAGGAATCTTGGGGGTGGAGGGATGCCTGAGAGGGTTTCATGATGGGTTCCAGGGGCGAGGCTGGGGCATGGTGTCCTAGAGCAGGCTCTGGTAATGGAGGGAGGAGTGGTGGTGTCCAGGACGATGCCCAGGGCAGTGGCGGGGGCTTTTAGGGAGTCCCGGGGCGAGGTGGCCAGGGGCAGGGCGCTAGAGTTATGTTGTGTTTGTGGGTCTCCAGCTGAGGTCCCAGGTGCTCTGCAGTGGGATGAGGAATCCAGAGAGTCCCAGGGCAGTGACAGGGGTCCCCCACATGCAGCGTTTTTTGGGTACTGGTGGAATTTAGGGGTTTCTGTTAATCTTGGTTGTTGAGAGGTATTAACCAACTTCTGTGGCAGCCCCAGTGCTTGGTCTCATTCCTTGGGTACCCCCAGGAGGGTCCTGGTCTCACCGATACCCACCCTGCTCTTCTTTCCAGGCGCAGCAAGCACACAGTGGTGGCCTATAAGGATGCTATCTATGTATTTGGTGGAGACAATGGGTGAGTGAGTCTGAGCATCAGGGTATTTGGACAGGGGAGGAACAAACATGGTGGTTTGGACTGGGCTTCTGCAGCTCCGCTGCTATCTTTACAAATGTTAGCTAAGCATTCAGCCTCAGCTTCCCTATCTGTAAGGTCCCCTGCACTCAAGGCCCTCAGCACAGCATCCGGTGGGTAGCATATTCTCAGGACACAGAAATTTCCCTCTTGTTCTGATGAGTGGACACAGCCTTGAGAGAAACACATTCGCCATGGTGCCACCCTGCCAGGCACTTTTCCTTTCCTGCACTCCTCTCTGGCCCTCATCCACATGCTCACATGGCAGCTGAGAAGGTATGGAGGGCAGTTTTTATTTATTTCCCACATTTTTCACTTTATGCAAGGGTTTTCCCACATTGCTATAAATTCCTGGCAAAAAACTCCCCTTGCAGTGACCAGATGTTCTGTTGGTGATCCCACCTCTATCCCCTGAACTGCTCCCAGTTAAGCTGTGGCTGGTTTCCTTTGCTGAAAGATAAAACCTTGGTTTGTGCAGTCACTTCCTTCTCCTGGCATGTTTCCCTCTGACTCATTCCCAGGAGTGAAACCTCCCCAGAGGGAAAGAGCTGTCTTAGTGAGGGCTGGGCCATGTCGGGTACTGGCGTAGGCACAGGTGCAGCAGGCACAGGACCAGGAGAGGGGGGTCTGGTCCTGTTAGGGAAGCCTTTATGGAAGGGTTGATGACCTGAGAGATGAGTAAGAGTGAGCCACGCAAAAGAGGAAGAGTGTGCAGATCAGTGTGGGCAATGGTCTGGAGGGAGGAGAGTACAGAATAGCACTGGTTCTGGATCTGAACAGGGTTTCCCGCCTTCATTTGTTGAAATGCTCAGGAAAGGCCAGGGATGCCTGTCAGGTATCTGGAAGGGTGGGAGCCTGCTGGATGTGGGGCTGAAGCTTGGTCTCTTAGACAGGCAGGGCTCAGTTCAAGGTGGAGCTTTGTGGCTTTGGGCTCAGGGAGGTGGCTTAACAGCACTAACTGCACTCTGGTCTCCTTCTCTGTATATGGGCCGGCCATGTGTGCTGCTTTTGCAGGGTGCTCCTGAGGGTGAGTGAGCACAAGGGTGTGAGGGGCTCAGCATAGAAGTTTCCGTGTGTGGAGGGTGCGATGTTTACACACAGCCCATCCTGTTCATGAGTCCTGTCCCCACCTCTCAACCACAGAATCTGCCTAAAGCCTGGGAAGGGATGGCCTCTGATTGGTACTGCAGCCTTGGTCCTGCAGGACTCCCTGGGGAAGCTCATTTGGGGCTGATGGGATAGACAGGATCCCATGAGGGCCTGTAGAATGGGAAGATGGTCTCCTTGGGCATGGTCCCCTGGCTTCCAGCTCATCCCCCCTACAGCCTCTTCCTCATGAACAGCCAGAGGAATCCATTTGAAAATACAAGTCAGAGCATTTTCCTCCGTGGCTTATAACACTGGGATGTTTCCCCACCTCTCTGATTAAAAGCCCCAGCCCTCTTGGGAGTCACTGTGCCCCCACCGCTCCTCTGCCTTCACCCTGCACTGCCACTAGGCCACACCCCTGCCTTGCTGTGTTCCGATTGTACCAAGCATCCTGCTCAGGACCTTGCACTGGCTGTTCCCTCCTGCTCACCCTCCTGTTCTTTCTCTGAATCACCTGTGAGTGAGGCCTTCCCAGACCACCTGGAAGACCTACTGTACCTCTTTCTGGCTCTGTTGGTCCCAGAGCACACAGGTGTTTGTTACCTGTCTCCTCCTGGGCTGGGTCTGTATCCCAGTACCCAGATGATTCAACAGATGTTTGTCACATGAAGGAATGAAATAAAGACATTTACTGGAACCTTAATGACAATCCCCCAAACCAGAAGATGCCTGATGTCCAGCACAGGGCAGTGGGTGGGAACATCCCCAGAAGTGTTCTCTAGCAGGAACTGTGGGGCAACAAGCAGAAATATTTTTGCTACGCCCGGCCGGCATGGCTCAGTGGTGGAGCATCAACCCATGATCCAGAAGATTGCAGTTCAATTTCTGGTCAGGGAACATGCCTGGGTTGAGGGCTCCATCCCCAGCAGGGGGTGTTCAGGAGGCAGTCAATCAATGACTCATGATTGATGTTTCTATTTCTCCCTCTCCCTTCCTCTCTCTAAAATCAATAAGAATATATTTTAAAAAAAAGAAATATTTTTGCTACAGTGTGACACTAAGAAACAGGATACAAATTTTTCTCAATCTAGTTATAACTTTTTAGACTAAGTGAGTACAAAGAAAGATGGCCTATAGCTCTGCACTGGGTTGCGGTGGGGCAAATAGGGAGAGGAGAGTAATTACTGTCACACCTCTGCTTCCCAGCTCCTAGCTTCCTGGCTGTGTGGCCTCAGGTCCTTTTATCTCAGGCTGTTTCCTCTTCTGTAAATGGAAGTGGAGAGCCCAACCATCTGGTGAGACTGAGCTAGGCAGTGCAGGGGGCACCTGGCACAGGCCTCATCTGGCCTGGTGTGCAGGGAATGCTGGGCTCCAGTTGGGTTTGTCAACCCAACCCTTCTTTCTTCTTAGTGATAAGGGCTGGGTGGTAACATGCAGGTTGTTAGGTGGTGTCATGGCCAGTGGATTTATTTTCTGTTTTATTGTATCTTTTTTTGTTGTTTATTTTTAAATTGAATTTATTGGAGTGACATTGGTTAATAAAATTATATAGGTTTCAGGTGTACAGTTCTATAATACATCATCTGTATATTGTATTGTGTGTTCATCACCCTCTTTTATTGTATCTTTAAAATGTAGTTGCTACATTGGCTTTGTGATAAAGAGGTGGCCAGAAGATCAGAGAGAAGGGAAGGGGCCTCCCCTGAGATGTGGGCAAGTGTCTGCCTTGTGGCACAGCCTTAGAGAAGGGGGCACTGAGACATGCGAGTGGGGATTCTGGAGCCTGGGGTGAGGTGTGAGCCCTGAAGTCAGCTGTGGGGTGGCTAGGAACATGCTTTGGTCCTGACTCTATCAGGCAGCCCCTATGCCTGCACCAGCTCAGGAGCTTCCTTTGTAGTCACCTCGCTGGTCTCTAGGGCATCAGCTGGTCGTCTGGCTCTGGCTAAGTCTCCCAAAACAACTCCTCCATCCCCTGGGCTGCAGTACCCATCGCCTGGGTCTTGGCTGGGCAGTGCCCTGTAGAGCAGACCAGGACTGAGCCCGCCTCTCCCTGGCTGTCTTTCAGGAAGACGATGCTGAACGACCTCCTGCGGTTCGACGTGAAGGACTGCTCCTGGTGCAGGTGGGTGGCCTCCTAAGTTCCAGGTCCCTGCTCTTTCTCCTAGAACTCAGTAGCACTGTGTTGGGCCCTGATTGCCAGTGGAGTCACATTCCTGGAAAGGTAGAGAGAAGCTTCAAGGAGGAGACAACACCCTTCCCTCCCCATACCACGAACATGCCCAGTGCCTCTCTCAGTGTTCCCTCTGTCTCTTGGGGTTTTTTCCCAGTCCATGACTGAGATTTATTATTCTGAATCCTGTTAGTTAGGGATCTGTTTGATCGGGTTGTGGGTCCTCAAATTCTGCCTCAGGAGAGCCTTCAGTCACCAAGCCTATCTCCCAGGCCAGGGACTGGAGCCAACATAGAGAGCCATCGGTTGATGGGTCCTTCTAGGACTGACTCTACTGCTGAAGGGGCTTCTCCCCGCCCCCCCCCATGGGGCCCATCCTCTGCCAGGAGACTTCACACAGGCAGTGGGCATCATGCGGACCCTGGCCTCCTTCCGGCAGATGGTGCTCCCCAGCTGTGAGGCCTTGGACAGGACACCTGCCCTCTCTGAGCACTGCATATTTGTGCCCTGCAGTCCAGCCCCTGACCAGGAGCAGCTCACAGATGAGAAATGGATCCTGGGGTTAGGTGATACTGGGCTTCCTCCTAAGCTCTGCCATCTGCTTGTGCAGAAGCCCAGATTCACCGTACCCCTTGGGTGCCATGCTCTCTTCAGGAGCTCTGTGCACAGCCCACTCAGTTCCCAGCAGCCCCCTGGGGTGGGGTCTGACTGCCCCCCTTTCACATAGGAGGATGTTGGGTCTCAGGGTCCACAGCTGCTGAACCTGGCATGCCAGGGTGGTATCACGCCATGCGGCCCACACTCTGCCCAGGAGGTCTGGGTAGCACTGGGATTGCCACATCAACTTCTACGTTGTTTCTCTCACACTTCACTTTAAAGTACGGCGAATAGTTACAAATACATTTTAAAAATCACTCTGAAGACTTTACAGTTCTTTGTAAAACTTGCTTAAGTATAACACTGGAAAGGAGCAGCACCCAGAAAGCAGTATAAATGGGTTTTTATTTTTATTTTTTTATTATTATTATTTTTTAAATGGGTTTTTAATTTGACAAGTAAAATTCGTGGACCACCCATGCTGCAGAATACAGTGCAGCTGTGAGAATGGGGGTCATGAGTCTAGAGTAGCTTGAAGACCTACTCACAGTCTACTATTTAGTTGAAAAAGCTTATTATATCTACCACATGATTCCATTTAAAAAAACCTCTCAGAGGCAGAATATGCATAGGAAGATATAGGGGAGACCTCCAGGTCTGGACAGTGGTTTCTGGCAAAGGTTTATACATAAATTTGAGTGCTATTTTGTTTTTTTCCTTTTTGGCAACTTTCTTAAAAGTTTCTCTAATGATACAAGTATTACCTTCAAAATATTACTGACACCATTGCCTCTTGTTACCCTGCCAGGGCTTTCACCACTGGGACCCCACCAGCACCCCGCTACCACCACTCAGCTGTGGTCTATGGGAGCAGCATGTTCGTCTTTGGTGAGCTGCCGCTCACTTCCCAGGCCAAGGGTTCCCCTGCCCTCCCTTCAAGCCTCGGGCCCACATGCTGTGCTCGGCTGGCCTCTTGGCGCTCTCTGTCCACCCCTTGGCCTGATCTCCTTGGGTTGGAATGGTCTGCCTCTGTGACTGGGCTGGAAGGTGGCTTTCCCTCCCTGCCAGGGACAGGGAATGGGGTCCTGCTGATCTCTGTGTCCCCAGAGCCCAGCACAGAGGCAGGCACCCGGTAGGGGCTTCCGAGGTATGCGGAGGGAGTTCTGGAATGCATTTTCAATGGGGCCACATTCTGCCCTCACCTTCTGGGGTTTGAGGTCTCTGAGATGCTGCCTTTGGTTGTGACTGTTTCTCTGTCTTTACCCAGGGGGTTACACTGGGGACATTTATTCCAATTCTAACTTGAAGAATAAAAATGACCTCTTTGAATACAAGTTTGCAACTGGCCAATGGACGGAGTGGAAAATTGAAGGACGGTGAGAGACTGCTGGAACCTTTGGGGGTTGCTCTGCGGGCTCTCTGGCCCTGTAGCATTGCAGATGAAGAGCCTGAGGCTCAGAGAGGCCTGGGAGCTGGGAGTTAGTGCTGACTCCCAGCTGCGCCTGTTCGCAGCCTCCTCCCAGCTCTTAGATTGCCCCCTTTTGGGAGGTAGGAGGGATCCAAATGTCCTGTGATGGGCCCTTCAATGGTCCTGCCTTGCGAGCACCTGGTTGATATTTTGGTAGCACCTGGGAGAGGACTCTGTTTTCTGTGATGCATCATCAGTGACCTGGTGCCACATGAGCTCAGCCCCTCATCCTGTTGACTATATTCTGGAGTCCCAGTGTCAGCAGATGTGGACACGGCAATCCTGGGGCCTGGCAGGATTTGCAGGGCTGTGGCCACTGGACCAGCTTGTGGGGCTGTGAGGCTCAGGCCTGCATTGAGTGGCCTCATCCCTCCTCTACCTCATGCTCCAGGTTGCCAGTTGCCAGGTCAGCCCATGGTGCCACAGTGTACAGTGACAAGCTATGGATCTTTGCTGGCTATGATGGCAATGCCAGGTAGGTGGTGGCCTGACCCATGCACTCCGCCTCTAATCGGCCCACTGTGCATAGTAGGGCACATAGTAGGCCTTCTTGGTCTCAGAGGGCTCAGGCTGGGGGTTTCTCGGGAGGG